GTCTCTTTCTTCCAATAAAAATTGGATCTTTTCTTTTAAGGCAGTAATTTACGAACTGACAAGACTTCCTTCTATTTAATGTAGAAAGCATGGATTGTTCTTCTAATCACATCCTAATCAAAGGTATCCAATGTGGTTTTTTCCAGAATGTTGTTCTCTGAACACTTTATTGATGAAGTAAAATTTGGCTCATCTTCACTGAGTGCTTTTCAGCAAATCTTTTTTATTGCTGACAATAATACTCCAACAATCTGACTTGCATGCTTTGTGGAATAAACAACAGGAATGATAAAGTTGCCTCTTTCAGCTTTCTTGTTGCAGAATTGAATGTTTTGAATTGAATTGAAAAGCAAGATCTCTTTTGTTCTTCTGCCAAAGATTGTTACAAGATATGAACTTCTATGTTAAAACAATGAAGCACACAAAAAATATGAAAAAAGCTAATTAAATCTTATCTAAATTCACTACTAACAAGAAATGAGTGCTTCAGTACAACTTCCTACCTACTGTCCCTCTAAAATAGGGGTCCCCAAAGTGGTCGATATCGACCCCTTGGGGTCGATAAGAGGTCTCCAGGGGTCGATTAATACACGAGGGTTGAAAGGGGGTCGATTTCAACCCTTTACCATCGCCATCTTGTTTACGTTTATTTCGTAAACTGTCCAATGGCAATATAGGTCAGTCAGGTGATATTGTTTTAAAAAATTCACCAAAAATCAAATTATCATTATGTTCATATGATAAAATCACGTACATTTATTAATATCTTTAGTTTAATAGTTTAGAATAATTATAATTCCTTCCAATTCTAAATATCTATTGTTAGCAAAAGGCGGTGTCGGGATGGAATCGTCTGGACGTATGTTTCCCGCGCTTTTTCTCTTTTTCAAACGAGCAATGGTTGTCGCCATAGAAACTCGGATCGGGAAACGACCGTTAGTTTTGAAAGCAGGATAGATGATTGGCCGCCGAGCATCGGACCACCTGCGGACCGATCAGAGCGCTACGAAGCCTATCTTCAATCCATATAAAAAGATAGAGTTTAGGCGGGAGAAATAAGTTCGCCTAAGGTCGGATAAGCGAAGTTATTGCTGCTGTTTTGTTGTGCTACAAACGTNTATTTTAATATAGAATTACATAAAATTGTTGGTTTTTTCTTAAATGATAGGCAATATTTCTATTGTTTTTAATGATATTAATACGATTCATACATCATATTATCATATACAATAAAATGCTGTAATGAAATGTTTAAATTTACACGGAATCGACAAATATTTTACGATGCGTAAAATTTTTGCGTACTGTACATCTATTTTAGTATTAGGCCTATCTACTTATCGTGTTTACAACAAAGTATAGTGTAAAAATAGATTCTTATATTATATGTTGCCGGATTTTGTAAGCTAGCGAAAGCATCAACAAATAACTTGTTGCTTCATGCAAAAAGAAGCAGCGGAAAGATATCGCGATATTTGAAAACGTGTTCAGAAAGACTGTTTGCTGTTTGTTATTTACACCGGAACAAATCTGTGTAAGGATTGATTGACAAGTTAAGCACGTAGCAATACCATATATTGGCACCACGTGCACAGAATGAGGAAAATGTAGAGTCTCTAGGGAAGAACAGCAGCTTCCGTCGCAAAGGTCGAGATCCAGAAAGTGGTTTGAAGATGGAGTCACCGATGCGGTAATGGAGTGAGAGAGAATTCTTAAAACCGCTTCATGCGCTGCATATATTTCTCTACAGAATTTTTATTTCAATAAGAGAAACATCAACTTTTCTTTAACCTATTGGATATTTCTAAACTTGATGTATCTCCTGTAATTGTGTTCAAAAATTTTGAACATCTGATAGATAAATATCACGAGTTTCGTAAAGATGCTTTCCATTTATTCTGTACACTATCCTACATAAATTCGCGGCACTTCTCAGCATCCAACTTACGTAATAAATATTTTCTAGTATTCGATAATCTAATTTAAACAAAGTGAAGTTTACTAAATTGACTTTACTAAAATGGATTTTTGAAGTTTCTATAACAAAATTAGATAGAGAGTTCTATACTTAGTTATGTCTTGATCTGTAGGTTTCTCTTACAAAATAACAGCACCTAGTTATTACTATACTTCGAAATTTTTCTATTTCACGTAACTGGTTACTTTTAACAAGAAATAAATTCTTCAGTTTGATACTTTAAGAGATAATTATTTTGGTTACACACAAATTTAATTTGCTTACATTTCACACGTTTTAAAATTTATTCTTAAGTAGAAATTTTTAAATAATTAACAGGTTCTTAGATCTTTTTATAATGGAAATATTAGAAAAATCTACTGTTAACTCAAAAATATCTTAAACAATGCTCCGGTTTATCACTTAAGCGTCATTACATTTCTTTTAAGATTCTACATTCTAAGTAAATCTTTATAGCGAGACCTTTTTAGTCTCAAAATCTCAAAATTTCTACCCTTTCTAAGTAACACATTTCTGTGGAATAAAATTAAAAATCGGTTAAAATCGGAGGGTAAACTGAACGGATCAAAAAGTAACAACACGGAACGGGAAGAGAGAAGAAAAGTCAAAAACTAGCAAAAAAAGAAGGAAAGTTTTTGGAGAGCAGCATTTGTGACAACGGCAGCTGTGTGACATATCTGGCCAACACGTGCAACTTACCCAGTCTTTCCCCTCGTCAAGATGCTTTGGGGGAGTAAAAACCGAATTAGAAACGGGAATGGCTATTAACATTCTCTCTCGCATTGACTTCTCACACTCCCTTTCTTTTACCACGTGATCAAACGTCATTTCCTGTCTTCGCAACACAATCAAATTCGTTCATCGACGTGACTGTCGAGTTCAGAGAAAAATACTCTACAAAACGCATTTTCTACTAACCATAATTCGATCATTTCATTAGTCACTATCGAAAATATAAACTGAAGTGTATTTAAAAATTAAAACGAGCTTATAACTAATATATGTTATAAACATTTTATAAATAACATCATAGTTGAATGCTGCTTATATACAAATACTGTTATATATAGTCCTTAATGAGCATAATAATAATAAAGATCTTAGCTATTGTTAAAATTATTTCATCTAATTTTTAATTAACATTTAAATAATATAAAGCATTTTATAAGTTTTATATTCGATATTAAAGGACAAACAAGATTAAATTTACAAATAGTCTATAAATTTAATTCATAAATAATACAGGTAAAATATGAAAATGATAAAAGTATGAAAATTAAAACCATATTTCTTACAAAAGTAAGGATCACGAACGCATTAGTTACGGTTATTATTATTCTCACGCAAAATATAAAATGTTAGTTAAACCAACTAAAATAATTTTAGGTGCCTTTTCAATTCTTCGAAAGAGAATTATACTGACCTACATTATAGAATATATTTTATACTGTCATGCCATTAATTTTAGACGAACATCATTTATGAAAATTAATCTATAAAGATTAAATTCAAATTGAAATATTTTACTATTTTAAAGATACTCTTTGAGCCTACAAATGTTTCACGTAACTCAAAATTTAAAAAACTACGCTTCTTTCAAATGCTTTACCATTGAAACTATATTGCATTAGTTTAACGCAATGTTCTATGTACTGTACTATATATAATTAGAATTACGTTTTTATTTCAGGTTTAAAGATATAAAAACTTCGGCCTTTGAAAATAACATTTCTTTTAACTATTGTGATGTGATGAATTTATTATTAGGCCTATATTAAAACTTCATATTTAACANTTAATATCAGAAATGCAAAAAATTATTTAATGTTTTGTAAAATACTTAATCTGGGGGTTGACAAGAAGGCAAATATTCTATAAAGGGGTCAATGGGATAAAAAGTTTGGGGACCCCTACTCTAAAACCAGTTCAAGAGAGTTGGAAAAATTACAGGCACACCTACACTGGCTGAACTATAATATTAGTTAATTTAATACCAACAACTTAAACTTTTATATTATGAGCTAATAATGATTAAAACAATTAACGATTAATGTTTAGAGCACTAGCTAGGAACATAGCAATAACATAGCAATTTCTTGTTATTAACCATATGTTGAATTTGGCAATACAAAAAGATCTATTTATCTGAAGATAATGTAACAATAACTGAATGCTGATTACAATAAACAAAGCTTTTATAATTAATGTATAATAATTTTTGTTTCAGGACTTATCAGTTGATTAATATTATCAAAATTATTAACAGTATCCTGATTACAACAAGCAGAATCTACTATATATCTTATCTAAGTTATCTAAAGTGAGAAGTGAGTAAAGTGGTGAGATTGAGTAAAAGTAAAGATTTACCGAATAAAGAGATGCTTATGAAATAGTCTTTTTATTCAATAAATGTTGTAATTATTTTTATTATATTATTTTTATCTAACAAAAAAGAATTTTATTAAAAAATGAAAAAGTTCTTGAACTATAGTTTTACTAAATTTAAGTAAAATAAATATGATAGTTGCAGTTCATAAACTTTAAATATAAAGAAATGTTTATACCATATTTAAACATAACAGACAGCTGCATTTTGTATTGTTGTCATAAAATATATTAAGAAAATTATTTGACTTTGCTGCTGTTTAATTTTTCACATGTAGTGTGAGAAGGACAATTAATATTTAGAAGAAATTAAATTACTATTCTATTTCTCTTCAAATTAAGCTATTTTTTAAAATAAGTTTTTATCCTGGATTTTTATTTGAGAAAGAGAATCTTTTTCTATGAAAATGAACAAAACTTCATCATTTTTGACATAAAATTAAAAAAGACCATGCAATATATAATCACCAATATAGTTTACTAATAGAAATGTTTTTGATCAAAATTTAATCATCATCAGCTTATAAAATCAAATATAATACAATGATGATCAAACTTGATTTAATTAGTTTTAAAATATAAATATATAGTTAAAATTCACATATATTTACTTATATAAAATTTTCTTTCAATTTAGGATGTTTCAGTTGGAGATTTTGTTTGGGCAAAACTTGGTTCTCAAAGATGGTGGCCTGCTGTTGTTATTTGGGGTTCTGACTGTGGTCAACCACCTGCAGGACATAATGAATCTTGGGTATTTTGGTGTGGTGATCATAAAATATCTGAAGTAAGAGAAATTGAATGCTGTCATCATAGTTATACATTTCAATAGATTATTTATAAAATTGTTTTATAAAATGCATATAATAATTATTAAAAATATAAACAATTTATGTAATATGCTTATTTCTAAGTAGTATTTATAGGACTACCTCGATTATTGTGGTTGTTGTTGTCACGAAAAATACTGCAATAATTGAATCTGTGTAAAATTTTGCCAAAGATTGGATCATTGTCAAAGATCTTTTAAATCTAGTAATTAAATTTTATATATGAGGTGAAAAAGAAATAGAAATGTATTGAATGTGTTAAGTAAAAAAACGAATATTTATTTAGGAAAACAAGATTATTCTTTAATCTTTATTTAATATTAATACTTTGATAATTAAGAATTTATTAGTGTATCATTGCTAATGTTACACTGATCAATTCTTAATTATCAAAGTAATATATTTTGAGTCCAGTGAGTTTTGAAATTGTGTACGTTTGAAATAAGTAATCTAGAATAATGCAATTGAAAAATCATTATACATTATTTTAAAAATATTCAAAAATTAGTGAAGGCATACACTACAATCATTAAATATAGAACATGAAATTTAAATTGGGTGTTAAAACACAAAGAAAGATGTGAAAAATAAATTTAATTATTCATCAAGCACTTTCACTTGCATCAATGCAACCTTCATCAGGAATACTAAATGTTTCATTCTTAACTTTTCCAAACTATTTTCATTTTATCCATGCTAAATGTTATGTATTGAAACTATTTATTAGTATGGTGCATTCCATCATTTACATCTATAATGTATTAGTAGGGTCAAATTCATGCATGCAGAACACAATGGCATTTATTATTTAAATGGTAAAAGTTTGTTCATGTGTGACATTTAAAATACATGACTTACAATGAAACATTCACCTAATTTGAGAATCATTGTATTTATCTTAACANTACCTCTACCAATTCTACATTACCTAATTAAAATCTTCGGTCCGTACAAATATAGAAAGTGTTGACAAAGAAATTAGTCACCAGTTTGAGTGAACCAAAACAAGCAGTTTCTTTACACACCTTATTTTCAGAGAAATTGTTTTAATATACGTATTTTGAATCATAATAAGTGTAACATTGTTTTAATTTTATTTATCGTTAAGTGCCTGAAAAGTATGCGAAAATCCGGCTATTTTTGAAATATTTCCGAAGTTAAATTACAGTTAGGTAATCATTATTGTGTTTTCCGTGAATCTGCGTGTACCTCTTGAAGACATGACAAGTCATGGGTCTATATTTAGCAACTAGGAGTCTACTTGTTTTCACCCACAGCTGTGGAATCTCATGGCAGTTATTCTGATGGATACACAGAGATGCATGCCTCTTATAAAAACCGATTAGATTTAAAGTGGATAAAAAAAATAACAACTTAAAAAATTTAATCTTTAAAATTTTTCAAAAGAGTCTATAATTAAAATCTTATGTAGGAACCAATTGACTTTTTATACATTAATTTTTATCTTTAGCACATATTTATAAAGATTTTTAACTCGAAAAACTACATTTTTTACTTGGAAAAACTAATCAATTGCATCATCTCAACAATTCACTTAAAATTAATTGAAAATTCGAGTTAAAATAGTGATTAACTTCATTATACGTCTTGACACGGTTTACTAATTTATTAATCAAGTTTTAAAATACTTATTGTAAATTTCACGTTATAAACGAATAGTCTATAATCTTCGACTGAAAATTTTTCATATAGTTTTTAATACGTTTTTGTTTTTGTTTTTTTTTTTAAATACTAAGATCTGAATGCACTCATAAAATTAGATTTATTTGATTCATATAATAGATTTTATATTTAATATAAAAAGCTAATAATTAAATTATTACATTTATTTCTTAGATCACTTAACTTAAGCTTTCTAAATTTTAATTTATAGATAATTTTAAATGAGAGTAATTTAACTGATATATAGAACCTTTGTGTGTATTTACAGAAACATAAACGGTTTTAATAAATTAAATTGATCATAATGTAAAGGAATTGATATGCGCTTATACTTATATTGTTATTCAAAAATCCATTCTGGAAACAAGGCCATTTATTATATAAATTTTAAAGACAAAAGTTTTCATTGTATATTATCAATGCCCAGCAAGAAAGATATAGATCCAATGCATAAACATTTAAATCTTTATATTCTTATTTGATAATATTCTTTTTCAAATACAATAGCACTTATTTTCTGGCGCTATGTTTCTTTGGTATTTGATATCCTTATTACGTAATAGAAGGTTATCTATTCAAAAGATTTTGTTCATAAAAGTAGCTCTGAAATAATTAAAAATAACTATTAAAGCTTCTGTTGTAGCTAATAACTAGTTACGGCGCTGTTTAGATCGAAACAATAATCTACCAAACTCAATAATCAATAAAGAAACGATGCAGCTTTAATTGATATTAGGTAATTTATTTCATGGATCTTTTTTCTATTATTTAACTTTGTTAAAGGTTAAAATGTCAGATGAATATATTTATTATATGTTCATCACGGGATACGTTTTTGAAAAGTTTATAATTAATGTTTTAAATTTCGTAAAATTATAAATTACCAGAATTAGAATGAATTCTTCTTTAAAACAAACAAATATGATTAAAATTTTTAAATGGCGTGAATAAAAACAGCTAAAAGTTTTCAAATAGTAACATTTAAATTATTTTGTCCATATCTGTTCATATGATCAGTTAATTTCGGTCTGAATTATGCGTTTATTATTTCCTTGTTAGTTTTTTCATCGTATTTATCCTAGTAAAGATTCACTGTTATTGATATAAACATATCTGGATTTCGTTCCACTGAAATTGCAATATCAATTGTCATAAAATATAGCCTAACTTATTAATAAATAAATAAATGTTATACAGCTTTTCCAGTCTCGGCATTATGTAATTATTTAAGTTACTTAAAAGTATGTTTTATGATCCTTACTTCAGTCATAATATTTAAAAAATAGCATTAATCGTAAGAAATTCTTTAAAAGCCCCTTTTAATGTGACACGAACGACCAGAAACTGAGAAATAATTCAAATTTTCGCTATTCTTTTTTTATTCTAATTCTTTGAAAACAACAGGGTATCAATGATACCAAAGTCTTCACGAACAAGGTCACTATTTCGAAAGCTTTATGGCTCCGTCTTTCTAAACTCTGCATTTTGCAATCTCAAAACAAGTCATAAATTTTAATTTCTTTATATAGTTACACATATTTTAAATAACATTCATATGTAGACAAACAATATTATACAACTTGAATTTTAGAATTTGAAGTTGGTCAAAGATGATAATTTCTACTTATGAGTTTAACATTTATTTCAATCAAATTTTGTTCAAACACAGTTATAGGAGGTAATCAAATGAAAACAGAACACAAGAGGTGTTTGTTGATTCTGCAAGTCAGATAATGAGCAAGCAGTGCAATAAGCACTTCCAGTTCTTAGTGTTGCCTAGTCTGACTTGTAGCTTTACTAAATTCCTTGTTTGTTCTACTTTCATGTAATCAACTGATATTTGTTCATTACTGCAGTGTTCCGCAATCAGTGTGCTGTCACATGGTGAAAGGTGTGACGTGAACTTTTATATATTCTGTTAATTTCAAGTTTTATTTATATATTTTTATCACAGTTGTTGTGTTTCTTATGCTTGTATTTCATTCTTGCCGCAGCACTGATGAAATAAGATGATGATTGTTTATTCTTTATTACAAGCCACGCATTTTTATGTATTCTAAGAAANTGTTGTTTTGAAATATATTTTTTCTAAGAAGAAAAAGAATAAAAGAAATTCTAAGTTATATACAACCATGTCTTATTATCTAAATCTAATGTATTCCTGAAAACAATTCAAAATAGATTTTAAATTTGACATTATATAAATATTTTTGTAAAATGACATTAAACATTAAAACAATTCATAAAAACAGATTAAACAAGTATTTTCTTAATATTGTCCATATTGTTGTAATAGAAAAGGTTGGTGTCAAATGTATTAATAGTCTTAACTTTGAGTAAAAGTATTGAGTTAGGTTGTTGCCTTCTTGATTCCACTCATTTACACCATAAGCATAATATAATTATTTTTCTAAATTTTTGACAAGAGTGTTTCTAGTCTTCCTAGTTCTTGATCTTGCAACCAATTACATATTTCCAATCTAAAGCAGATCCTTTCAGCTTACTGATTGCCAGTGGCAATATTTGACTCTCTACTAGCTTTTTTTGGTTTTTAATAATTTCTATAAGTTTTATCCATTCTTCTGCACTTTTGGTTGTATAACTATTAAATTCTGATAATGATTGGGTCAGATCTGGTACAGTTTGTATTTCTATAATGGCATGGTTCATTTGCTACTGTTCATTTATTTTTGCTGCATCATTGATTCCATTAATTTATACATCAGGTGCATGATCATGTCCAATGTTGGATTTATCCAGACATCTTGATCATCACTAATCAGACAATTAGTTATTTGTTCTACTTTTTAACTTTAATCTTCTTTAAATTGATCATGAGTAATACGGTATCTATCCATATTACTCATGTTAGAAACTAACATGTCTTCATTCGTTTTAGTCTTGATTTTGATTTTCTCAATAGTCATATTTTTGATCCTAATTGCTTCTAACAAATGTTGCGGTTTATGTTTTGGGCCACTTTGTTTTTTTAATTGCATGTTTCTAGTTCTTGTTTAAATTGATTGTAAGTGCTCAAATGTCGTCTTCAGTAAATATCTTGTGATAGGCTTAAGATTAAATAGCAGGAAATAAATTTCTGAGATTGGCCTCTGAGGAAATAAATATCCTCAGAGGCCAATCTCTGGCTTTTCTTCATCTTGGCAGCTCCTTGGGGCTTAAAATGGTTATTAATATCTTATTTGACTGCAGTATTCACTCTGTAGGGCACGTTTTGGTGCTTTACAGAATTTCCAACATCTTGCTTGCTTAGCAAAGCTTACTTCTTCTTCTTCATGCCTTCTCATGTTAAACTTATGCTAATAACAAAAATAATAATCCCTCTAATATCTGTTATTTTTAATATGTTATTTCAAATTTAAATCAAAGATAATTTTAGCATATTATTTAACATAAATGATTTTTTATTCTGTTAGATATTTTTTATATTTAATTGGAATGTATTTTAAAAAATTTTTCTAATGATTAAGTGTTTTTTGTATTTTTAGGTACCCAGAAATATGCTTCTTGAATTTATTCCTCATTTTAATAGGAAATATAATGAATTTGCAGGAAATAAATTTGAAAGAGGTATCATTGAAGTTTTACAGGTATATGTTTTTCTTGTATTAAAATTACACTGGATGTAAATTTTATCATTTATTTCAATCAATAATAATAATAATTTTTTCTGTGAGATTAAAGAAATATTTCACACTTCATTAATATTCTGAACTATTAATAGTATGAAAAGTTTTTTGGTATTATTGATATATTTTCAGTAGCAGTTTGATTTTTACTTGATTACTTTCATACAAACAGTTCATCAGTAGAACATCAGTACAATTAATATTTGAGAAAATGAATTAATTTATTAAATAATTAAAACCTTTTCAAAACCAATTCATGCAACTTTTTCTTGCAGTGAAAACCTACTTTTGATCTGTATACTTATCATCTTTTTTAAAAATCCAACACGGGGGGACACTACATATCAGGAAATTTTAGCGAGGAACCTGGCCGCAAAATACAAGAGAAAAATTAATTGGATTTAAAAAAAACAGAGACCTGTTAGGGAGGATGTACCTATACTTATCATCACAAATAAATAAGAAGAAAAAAGTTCTTTTAAGTTTTCTAAAAAAATTTTTATTCATAGAAAAGCCAGTTGAATTCAGTTTGTTTGAAGCATTTCCTTAACACCTTTCAAAACATTTTATTAAATTATAGAACAGAACCCAGTATTTTTAAGTGTAAATAAAGTGATTGATGACAGAACAGGTAGAAATTGAGCAAATGCAATGAAACTTTTTAGGATAAATACTGAGATATCCTCTCATCCAGGAGGAGGTTAATAAATTCTTTCAGTTGAATAAACTTTATCTTGTATTTTCTCCCCAAAGATATCTTCATCCTTCACCTGCAGCAGGTTCATTTGCTGTCTGGTCAGGTATTCAAAGAGCATTCAAAATGAGAATTATTCTAATATATGAGCAAACACCAAATATATACCTACAGTTTTTAAGAATGCTAAGTTTGAATATTTGATCCATTTTCTGTGAAGTCTGATTGATTCTCTAATTTACAGTTGTTAATTTTTTTAAAAAATGAATTAGTTTTATGAATTTTATATCAGAAAAAGCATACAAGAAGGTTGTAACAATTTAGTGATTTTAAAATTATCAAATAAAAATAAGAATAGATAGGAGTAATGTTGTGCTGATAACGATATATTAAACCAAAATCAATGTACAAGGGCGGTTTTTTTAAGCTTTGATGGTCCATAAAACAAAGACAAGTGTAAATAACAAAATGAATTTATTATCAAAAGTTAGGTACAAACATGGTTACTTTTTGACATAATAACCATGAAGATTGAGGCATTTGTCATATCTGTGGAAGAACTTTTCCATTCCCTTGTCATAGAATGTTGCAAACCTTTTAACTCTTGCCTGCAGCCTTTCTAGAGCGCATGAGTGCGCCTTAATACAATGCGTATCGTTAATGTACTTTAACAGAAAGTCGTCGTAAGTGCTTCTTTTCATGACTACTAAGTCCTTCGACTTGTCGGCCCTTGTGAGTACGAGATTGTTACTTTTCAGCCATTCTCGACTTTTTTTGATATTTGCCCAAATTGGGTCACAATCCCTTTTACTATATTCTTGTTTGATTTTAAGCGCCACTTCCCATCTGAACATTTCTTTTTTGATCTCGCTGAGCCCCTCTATAGCTTGCTCTACTTCCGGCATGATCTTTTCTTGCGTGAGTTTAGGTGGTAGAATGTTGCTGCTAGTGAATTGAGATGGCCTTAGCAGTGTTGTTTTGAAGGTCATCATTAGTCTCAAACCTCTGCTCTCCTAGCCACGTTTTCAGTTCAGGAAAGAGATGGAAGTCTTCACACATTAGAAAGTTCTTTTTCTTGAACAGAAAAAGTGACTAGGAGGGCAGAGGTTTGAGACTAAGACAATCTCCAAAACAACATTAAGGCCCATCTCGAGTCATTGGCAGCAACACTATTCTATGACAAGGGGATGGAAAAGCTCATTCACAGATATGACAAATGCCTCAATCTTCACAGTGATTATGTCAAAAAGTAACCATGTTTGTACCTAACTTCTGGTAATTAATTCACTTTGTTATTTACACTTGTCTTTTTTTATGGACCATCAGAGCTTGAAAAGAAAACAGCCTACATATATTTACAATATTGATATTCTAGATTTTAGAATATCAATACTGAAACTAATATATGTTTACAGTATCAATATCGATATATTGAAGAAATCTGAATATCAAGCTCAATAATGATATCAAAATTTTGATTTAACACAGAGCTAATTAGGAGGAGCTGAAATATGGTAAATTTGGTCATGTATGTTAAAATCTTCACATAAAAATAATAAGGCAGAAAATAGCATTCACTTGTGTTACTTTTGTATATTTTTAGTCTGCAGTTACTATCTCATTAAAACATTGAAGAGAAAGTTAATTGAAGGTGATATGAATAAAGCATCAAAAAATACCAAAATATATTTTAATATTTCAAAGAAAAAGATATTGTCAAAAACAAAAGATGAGGGAAAATGCCACTAATATATTATTTTCCATTGATATTCTGTTTTCATTTCATTTTTTACATGCTACACAAAGAATTGCATTAGAAGATGTAAGGTACTCTGTATTTTATGATCCACAATAAAGCCTAAATTACATTATATAAGTTTACTAGCTATTTGTGAGTGTATAAATTCATGAAAGAGTTAACAAGTTGACACTTACATACACTGGTCTAGTGAGTTTGCTTACTCACTTTATTTCAATGCTACACTAAAAAGTAATAAAATATAATAATCTTTAAACTATATGATAATATGAAGAATTGTGAAGTCTAATTTTAATGTAATTTTAAGTTAAAAAATTGTGTCTTTTCTCAAATAGGCACATATGTAATTTGGAACAAAGGATTTAAATTCCTTAAAATAAATAAATATTGTTTATTAGATTTCTGGAAGAAAATTGTGATTATTTCCTCTCTCTTGACGTTCATTTCTCAAATTATAAGCAAAATAAAATTCTCACATTGAGCTACCCATATACATTATCTGTTGATTGTGGTACTTGCATAGCCAACAGATGATGTATAATGAATATATAGATATATATTCTGTATAATAATATATAGAATATTTGATTATATGGTGCATATTTCTTATTCAGAGAGTAAACTTGAGGATGAGTAGCAACTAAAGTATCTTGGTCTTTAACTTTACTTATTTAGATGAGTTATCAAGAGAGTTACTAGTCAAAGTAATTACATTGTGTGAGTTTGGTAGCAAGAGTAAATTGCTGGTTAGTGACTACTAAATTCACCCAATGTAACCAAAGATTAATATTTTTTTGTAAGAAATGATTAATAGCTTCCTTCTAATTTATTTTTAATAATATGTGCACAGTTTTCTCTGGAGTTTCTCCAATTCTGTTTTTGATATGTAAGTTTAAAAGTTAGGAGGGTCATCTTAAATTACCAATAAGAGCTGCACATGTTAAATACAGGCTAAAATTTGATCCTTGTCTGAAGTCAAAGCACCATATATACTGATATATATATAGTACTTTGACTTGCAAATTTTAAGATTTGACTCTGTTTTAGAACAATCAAATCAATTTGACTCAAAGATTTTGTAGTCAAGCACAAGCTCTATCTGTATGAATACTGTTACTGAAAATTATTTCGTTTATATATTTTTTTATATTATTGAAAAAGAAATTAATATAAATAAAATATTTTTTATTATTTATGATAACCATTTACACTCTTTTGGTTAATTGAATGCAAAAATTCTTTAAAATTGCCAATTGTAGTGTCTATATTCATGATTAAAATTTTTAAAACCTAACCTGTAAACTTAATCTAGAATTAAAAAATTCTTAAATTGAAATCTGATATATTCTGAAATAATTCTGAAGTTAATTCTCTGAAATTGTTAAATAAAATAGTTTTAAAAAATATGACTTATAAAATTTGTTTGAATTATCATTTATACTTATGTTTAATGTTTTGCTTAGACAATTATTGCTATCTTTTAATATTTTGTTTTTATTAAAATAATAAAAATTTTATTATTAATTGCAGGAATTAGCAAATAGAGTTAATATAAATGGAACAATTACAAAGGATCCAGGATCTTTGCTGAAATGGGCTAAAGATGGTTTTCCCAATAAATGTAAAAAAGCAAATCCATTTTCACCAAGTGTTGGTATGTAGAATTAATTTATTCAGAAATTTTATCCATTTAGTTTAGTTATTATAGCTTAATTATTGATAATTTAATTAAATTTTGTGTGAATATATATGAACTAAAATATTTTCACTTTCAAATAAAACTTTTATATAATTTTAATATATTCTAACTTTTCTGAATTTTATTTTTTCTTAATTAATCACTAATCATCTTATGACTGCTAAGAAATATTTATTTAAAGATGCATAAACACTTTTAGCTTAATTTATAGACCATCTTCAGGTGAGATTGTTTAGAATAATTATCAAACATTCCAAATAGAACATCATCAAGATGGAACATAAGTTCTAAGGTTTAAATACGCAGCTATAAGTTTATACCAGGGCTGTGGAGTCGGAGTCGTGGAGTTTTGGTGTTTTAGCCAGAGTCGGAGTTGTCAAAAAATCTTCCTTACTCCGACTCCTTTTTACTTAACTAGTAATGTATGTAAAATGGAAAAGTATTGGAATCATGCCAAATTTGACCCTCCAAGTTTCTTTTGCAAATCGACACGTTTGGAGACCTCCTGAAATCCTCAAAAAAAAATAAAAGGAAAAAAATTCGCGCGAGTGTGTGTGTTGGCATCTAATTTGTTTAATTTCTTTATTTTCTGTTCTGAGATATTAAACAATATTACAGAATGGGTAAAGTTTAAGAAACGAAATGTGGCACTGTAGCTTGCTTATAAAGGGGCATTAATACTATTAAATTTTGGTTCTTAATTAAAGGTCGACAGGGTGAAGACATAAAAGTGGTCATGTGTCATATCTCTTAATGAATATTTTATTCGTTATTAGTGTTCAAAATTAAAAAAATAATAATAATAAAATAAAACTTGTCTCTACCCTCAAAGTAAGCTTTTTTGCCATTTTATAGTAGTACAGTAAACCCGTTAAGATGTTCTTGCCTAAGATGTTAGAATGTATATGGGGACACGATTTAGTTCAACCACTTTGATGCTTAATAACTAACTCCTGTGTTAAACCATCTGACTCCGATTCTGACCACTCTGACCACAGAAATTATTAGGCTTCAAACAGGGTGAACAAAATCGTGCCCCACATACACAGTCTAAAATCCACACATATAGAAAAAAACCTCAAATCTTTTGTATATCTCGAAATTTCAAGATGTCCCGAGTCCAAAAATGTAAAAATTTGGGAGGGGTCGTTTTTTCACCGAGCGCTACACTTTCCATCTGTTATATATAACAGCCGGATAAGTAAAAATTATCGAATACATATTTATATATTACTTAGAGGAGTCTTATAGCTTTAGAATGAAAAGTTTCTACGTTCTATCTTTATTAGAACTTTATTTATTGAACCTTTTATTCTGAGGTCACGTGATGACATCAGAATTTCCGGGTCTCTTTTGATAACATGGCCACCCCTAGTCGGAGTCGGATGGTAAGGAAAAGTCGGAGTTGGAGTCGGTAGATTTTTACACGACTCCACAGCCCTGGTTTATACAACTATTAATAAAAATACAGTATAATGTAATTACATAATTTTTTTTTNCTAGTCGGAGTCGGATGGTAAGGAAAAGTCGGAGTTGGAGTCGGTAGATTTTTACATGACTCCACAGCCCTGGTTTATACAACTATTAATAAAAATACAGTATAATGTAATTACATAATTTTTTTTTTGTTTTGTGAATCTATCAATCTATTTAGAATTAAAAATTAAAAGATAGATTTTACTAATCATCAGTGTTGTAGCTACAAATTTTGATGACCACAAGGTGCTCCTACATGTTTGCACCTAAAATAGCTACTCATTTTCCCCCTAGTTTCATCACTGCTCTTCATGGATATAACAATCAATGTTTATAATGAGGAAATCTTGTCAGTCTCCTAGTGCTTGTTATAACAGAGTTTGATTGTATCTAAATACAACCATGAAACATAATTTCTAAATCAAAAATAAATAAATAAATAAATAAAATATAATATAATAAACTAAATATACTGTAGTCCATAAGGTTGGAAGGAAACTAGGAGTTTCCATATAGAAACTTTTTTATATGATGAATTTCCATGCTAATGGTAATCTTTCTGCATCTCTGTCATTAATGCATTGATTTACCAATTTGATTTTATATATTTCAATTTTTTTCACTGCTTGTTCTTTTGGAGAGTGTAATGTTCTAATTATATCTACTTCATCCCATTTTACTACAGAGCCTTTTGCTTGCAATGTCATGGATAGTACTGTATTGCAAATTCTTTTGTTAACACTATATTTATGTTAAAGTTGAATCCCTAGGTTTTTTCTGATAACTCCAATATAGTCCTTTTTTATTCCTAATGCAGGTTTTTATAAGGTATGTGGAATATGCCTGCTCTTCCTCCTGTAACTTTTAAATGTTAGAATGTTTCATTTTGATGATTTATTAGAGAGGTTGAGGCGCACGTTTTAAACGTGTAAACGTGTACGTGTGACGTTCGGCGCCACTTTCCCGTAAGCCTAAAAGTTTGACAATGGTGTTTGGAATGTCGAGCGTGATTTCACCGACTATCCAAACACCATTGTCAAACTTTTAGGCTTACGGGAAAGCGGCGCCGAACGTCACACGTACACGTTTACACGTTTAAAACGTGCGCCTCAACCTCTCTAATAAGTTAGTAGCATTACATAATTCTATTAATAGTATCATATCATACGTTTTTGAGGGGAATAACATTTTGGTGTGCCGTGTTGAGTCATGGGTGTGCCACAAGTAGAAAAAGTTTGCAGAACACTGCATTACTGGATAATAATATTGTGAAAATTGTATTTAGTATTGTTGAATTGCATATACTTATATGTGGTATACTGTATAATGAATATTGCATTTGCACACTTCCAGGAAAAGATGGATTCCCTTTTTTCAAAATTAAAATGCACCAAAGAATAAATGTATTTATGTGTTTTTAATATTGCTCTAAAATGTTATAATTATACTATAACCTCAGTTCAGTAAATTCAATTTAGTACCTAAAAATTTTTTTGATATTGTTTGGATCTCTATAAAATAGCCTAAAGCTAGGCAGTTAATTTGCTACCTTGTAGTAATATTAGTAATTTGAAATTTGCTACCTTGTAGTTAATACAGTCGACCCCCCTATAAGATAGAGATACGTTCCATTCTCTAGGAATCCGCTTTCTTACGAATCCTTCCAATCACAACCCGACACGTATCAAGTTTACGGACTACGGCTGTTTGAAAGATTTTCTTCCATAAAATTAATCGATTCTAGACTAATCCGACTCAACATTTCCAAAATACGTATATATTTTTTGGGAATAATCCGTATAAACTACGCTATAAACAAAAAATTGTAGGATTACTTACCGAGTGTCACCATTCGACATTGCCATTGCTC